AATGTGGGATTGTTCAGGAGGTGAGTGTCAACTTGGATCTCGTCTTCCCACCCTAATACATCCCTCTTGCTTTCCACAATCATATGTTGTCCATTGCCCAAGTTGTAGATGAGGAATTGAGAGTCCATGAAGGTACACAATGAGTCCAGATCATTGCCTGGGTAGCAGATCCCAGCTAACCAATCCATACCATGCTCCTCCATGGGGTGTCCAATCCAGGTCCCCAGAGATTGGTACCTACAGAATGGTCATCAATTTTATACATATATCCATGTTCCAGTGGGTGGGTTATCCTCATCAGTAGTGATATTATCACTAAGTCTGGCTTCATCATCATTGTCATCTGAGACACTCTTGAGTTCTGGGAGATCATTTTCAGGTACATCATCATTGTCTTGGACCCTAGGTCCCCAAGTTTGAATAAAATTTACAGAAACTTTGGGGTCATCTTCAGTTGACCTGGCTAGGTGGTGCTGACATTTGACATCTCCAAAATCCACATCCACTCCAAAGCTGGTAAGACTTGGAGGTTTGTTGGATGAGGACACAGTATGTCGATCAGGACAGTTTCTCGAAAAGTGACTGGACTTATGGCAGATGAAGCAGAGACCTTCCACCTTATGGTGCTCTCACTCCTCTTTGCTCAACTTAGGGTTGTCATGCCTACACTTGTCCTGATGTCTTGTGTGCCATCCTCCACTCCTGGAGGACTCAGCAGGTGCAGGATCCCTTTGATTTCTGTTGCCCTTGTATCTCCTTCTGCAGGTGCAGCATCACCTATGTTTCGAGCTTTCTGGCTTACCTGCTGAGACAGCTGTGCTCTCACTGGTACATTTCTTACTTCTCTGTCTTCGTGATTTATGGGACCAATCCCTGGTTATGGATTGCATGATCTCAAGGATCTCTGCAGATGCCACAACTTTCTTCAGCATTGAGACCTCAGGGTTCAGTTTTTCTCTCCACAGATCATGCTGAAGTTCTTTGCATAGGCCAGACCAAAACTTATGTGCCTTGGTACATTCATTGGTCTTCTGATCATATTCCAGATCTTGTTGAGCTCATACAGGTAGTTTTTAACAGTCTTTGAGTTCTGGTAACATGACTGGAGCTTTTCTTCCTGCTGCATTTGGAAATTGATGGGGAAGCAGTAGTTATATAACTCTGTAAAGAAGTCCAATAACCTCCACTTGTAAGGATCTCCAGATACCTCATGCACATAGAACTCATGTGCCTTTCCCATTAGGTAGTGTGATAAAATGCACATGCCTCTCTTCATTTCTACATGCCCATCCTCAACATATGCTGTTCCCTCAGTGATGAAGCAGTGGAATGCATGAGGGTTGTCTGACCCATCATACTTTGTATGTGGGATCAGTTTCAGTGTCATCTTGCAGTGTGATCTGGACCTTTTCTTTGGTTTATGCAATCAGAGAAGTAAGAAATCTTACCAGTTGAGAGCACAGCTGTCCTCATGCAGGTAAGCCCTTGACCTACTAGAGCTAGGTCAAGGATTCACTGGAGTTAGAAGAGCTGCTGGTTGTGCTTGACATGTCATCTGAGCTTGAAGATGATTCATCATCAGTAAAGGTGCTAGAGTTTGAACTCGAAGGACTGGATGAGTCCAAGCTTGTGTTGTCACTTGAGGGATTGGTCTCAGAGTCATCATTCAAGTTGGAGTCAGAGTCACTATCATCTGATGATACACATTGGCAAGAAGACTTGTATTTCTTCTTTGTCTCACTGGTGCATTTCTCATCCTTCTCGAGATGTTTAAATGCTAGTCCAATATAGCTTTTAGGGTTAATTTGCTTTACAGGCTCCATGGTTCTTGGAGTCTTTTGTCATTCATGTCATTTGTGGTCCTGGCATACAATGCTATCAACCATGTCTTTCACCAGGTTGGGAAGAGTCTTTGACAGCATTGGTGCAGACCTTTTATTCTTAGCTTTACACTTTGACTTTTCTTCCTTAGAGGTTCATTTGACACTATTAGGGTTCTGGGGAGTGCCCTTACTGGCTGGCATGGCATCCTTCTGACTATTTCTCTGCAAGGGACTGGGCTAGCTATCATCGCCTCCCTTGGCTAACTTATTTGTGATGTTCGAGGATGCAAGGGCAGTGTGTTGCACTTCTGGGTTCACCTCATTTTCACTAAGGTTCAGGTTCCCCCAGTTCTTCAGGTCAGGTCCCTTTCCTTTGTAATTTCCCTTGGTTGAGGGCTCATTGCCTTCAGACATGGAGCTTTCTAGATTGTTTCTTGTCAGTGACAGCGACCTCCTTTGGATCCTGTCTTGCTCATCTGGGGTCAGTCATTTTGTGGCCTTTCAGATGGCATTGTTCTGATTGGATCTCAGCATACTATGAGCACATCATTCATGCAATTGTTTGTGCACAACTTTTGTCCAGTCACCATGTTCGACATCCTACTTTGCTTGTAGGGAAGATGGAGTCACATCAGACATCAATAGGTAAGTTCTTGTTTACTTTGTGAGTCAGTACCCAGACTCTAACAGAATGAGCCTTTACAGCTTCTGGGGTCTAAGTGTTACTGGGATACACTGGCAAGGTAGCTCTCGAGCCAGGAAATGTTGGTGAGATAGTCCTCAAGCCAGGGCACATTGGTGAGGTGACTCTCAAGCCTGGCTGAGTGGGTGAGGTATTTCCTCAAGCCAAGGTGCATTGGTGAGGTAGCTCTCAAGCCTGGGTCTAATTGGCAAGCTAGATCTCGAGCCAGGGGACAATTGTGGCAACTCCTTCAGGTGCCTGGCTTGGATCCCTCATGCCAATTCTAACCACATCACTGTAACTTTGGATGTTATCAGTGACCATGCCTTTTGATGGGGGTGGAGTATTGACTTCCTAGTGGAGTCAGTTTTGGGAGTGGAGATTTATTGACAATGTCAGTGCCTAGGCTGGGGGGTAATGATGGTGTTTGAGCCCTTGTGGCTCAGTGAACAGTTGCATGGGTATTAACCATTTCTCTTATCAAGTGTATTGGATACTTACTCATATCTTCACAGGGGATCAATCTGCAAATGGAGGAGAAGGTATTGAAGCATTTTGTTTTTGGTTCAAGTTTAAGACTTTTGAAGGCAGGAAAAAAATATGTAACATCAATAAGAAGTGAAGGTCTTTTAATGGCAGCACAACAAGAAGAATCCTTGACACTATTTGGATTTCCAGACACAAGGGTATGTCTTATTTGAAGTAGAAAAAAGGACTCCCATCAGTATGCTACATAACCCATTTTATAGGGTAGACTAGGCACAAAATATGTCAGAGTATGCATATGGGTCAAGTAGGATCAAACAATATATGAGAATCATTACAGTAGAATACCTCGTAATGCATTACATAATTATGCATAAAATGGCTAATGCAAAGGATTTTATGCAACTGCAGGTGGGAGCCCCTCACAATGGCTCACATATGCATAATGCATAATGCATGCTATTGCACCTCACTTTATGCATTATGAGTTGCCCAAATAGCTAAGTGTATTGTACTTCAATAGTATATGTAGGCACCAGGAGGGGTGGAACAACTTAACTTTACCAGACCTCACTCAACCATGCCAGACATCTTGAAAAGAAAGCCTTGTAATCCCCTGAAAACTGCCCCACCTGTGAAACAGCACAAAATAGGAGTGGAAAATGCTCCTCAGACATCTGCTCAGCTTCCAAAAACTTCCTGTCAGCAAAATCTCACTCTTTCTGACTGGATGGCTGTCTACTCCTATGTTGACTCACATCCCAATGTTCCTCAGGCTGATATAGTTTAGCATTTCAGCACTCTCGCAACTGGGGCACTTCTCTTTGACCAGTCCACCCTGTCACAGAAGTTATGAGATCATCCTAAAATGGAAGCTTGCATCAACACCAACCCTGCCACACTCTCTTCAAAGAGACCATGCATTGTTACACATCCTGATGTAGAACAGGCACTATACTTATGGGTTCTGCATATGGAAAATAAAGGAGATACTGTTACAGGCCCAATGTTATGAGAGAAATGCAGTAGATTCAAGGATGAGTTTCAGGTTCCTAAAGAGGAAAGGCTGCTAGGAGAAGGGTGGCTGCACTCATTCTGCAAGACCTACAAGATTTGGGAGCATTGACGACATGGAGAGGCAGGCTCAGTAGACCCTGTGGCAGTTGAGACTGAGCAACAATGATTCCAAAAAATCCTGGCAAGATTTTCACCACAAGATCACTGTAATTTTGATGAGACAGCACTGTTCCCATAGTAAGCAGGTCTCACCATTTATGATTATGTCATCTGACTCAGTGCTAGTGCCCCACCCGATTGTGGTTTGGCAACACACCAACTTAGTGGAAAAAAGAAAGAAAAGTTTCATATTACCATTGGACTCGCATGCAATGCTGATGGGAGTGAAAAACTTGAGCCAATTTTCAAGCAAAACCTCATTGCTTTAAAAAGCAGACAACCAGAGCAATATGGCTTTTATTATCGGAATAATAATAAGGCATGGATGACACCATCCATATTTGAAGAGTGTGTTCTTATCTTATCAGCTTTGTAATCAACTGACTTGTTGTCATTCTAGATGGCTCAAGAGACTTGTCTCCACATGAAGCATGAATGGTGAAAGATATGCCTTTCCATTGATAATTTTAATGGACATAAGGTTTCTTATGAGCCTTCCAACATTTTACTCAAACTTTTCGAACCAAATATGACACCTTTTGTTCAACCATGTGATGCTGGTGTAATCCATTGTTTCAAGGCTTTGTATTGCCATAATTTCTGTGCTCAAGCAGTTGATCAGGATGCAGCTGGCAAGCATGACATTTACAATCTCAGCTTACTGGAGGGAATGACTATGGCTAAGGCAGCTTGGGAGGCCATGTCAGCTGACACAATCTAACATTGCTGGAATCATACCAAAATTCAACCATACATACTGACTACAGTTGGCAATGGCTTATACTGACATCTTGTGTCATAGGGACCACTCTGAGTCATTTCTTCCTGCTCACATGGATCCCATTGCATGGGATTTTATTCATCAGTATGCTGCTGGCCTCATGCCACTGCCAAAGGTAGAAAGTAACTTATACAATCATCTTGGAGAAAAGTATGTTGACAGTGACTAGCAGCCTGTGCTGAAGGTTGTCATGGAATCTGAAGACAATGATACAGCACTCGACAGTCTCAGCTCACCACACTGCTGCATTGTCTCACTCTGGGATCAAAATCCACATTCCCACACTTGTGGCAATCTCCAATCCTGCACAGAAGCCAAGCCAACTTGCCTTGGTGGAATCTGAAGTGATGGAATCTGTCCATTGCTTAAAGGAACAGAATTGCATTTTTGGCAAGCTGCCATCTGTTGATGAACTAGTTGAGCCACCGGAGGAAAGGGAATTCCCAGAGTTTGTATTGGATGGGAGTATCAAAGCCATTGCTGATGCAGTGCGCTCAGAGACAGCTGTGGAAAATGGTGAGGTCATTGACATCAATGACAGTGATGACAGTGATGAAGGTGACTCCAGAGATGTCATGGTGCCAACTTGCAGTGAGCTTATCAAGTTGTGCAAGGAACTTGAAGCTGGCTGCATGCAGTATGGAGGTGATCCCCAAATCTCACTCAATCTATCCTCCAACCTTATTAAGTTTAGAGCTTGTGCACAATGAGGAGAGATCCTTTTGGCAAAACAGACCATGCTCCCCATGTATTTCACTTGTTAATACACTGTATTTACCATGTATGCCTCTGCAGGTACAGGCTGGTTACTCTATGTCACACATTGTGTCACATAATGTCACAAATTTTCGAGGCACATATTAATGCTGCTGGCTGACAATGCTCATGTATTTCCTTATTAGGGTCATTAAAATGGTCTGGTAATGACATGTCAATGGCTTGGGGGCAGTGCCAAGGGAAGAAATTTCATTGGACAGGAGTTACCTGAGTTACCAAGTGATAATGATCTGATAATGACTGATATGGCATGACATTGTCTTACATCAGCTGAACCTGGGATCAAAGGATGAACTAGTCCAGCTATGATACATCTTCCACTTCAGGTAACCATTTTTCATAAGCATTTAGGCTGAATAGTTTCTCCAAACCATCCAGCCTAATAGCCTCCCAGACCAAGGTCTGCCCAGGGACATCTGGTCATGTCCCAGGGCTATGCAGATTTTTAGGCCCTGGGACAGATGGGATTTCCCACATAGCCATCCATTCAAATGCAATTATTTGGGATGTCCCAAGACTGCCTTGGGTGACTGGGGTCCCTACTCCTGAAAGTGCAGCTTATATTAGCATTGAAATAGCTGCAGAAATCCTAGCCCCCTTGCTCCTCTGACAGATTTAATCCACAAAGTATCCTTTGACCTATACATCCCCTCCCATCCCACCATGCATAGTAGTATACAATAGTACTTTTCATGTACATCTTTGCAATGTGATTCTGCTGTATTGGGACATCTCACTAGTTGCCAGGGAGATGACCCACCTGGGCCTCCACATTTGCCTTGAAAATTGCAATAATAAATTCAATCAATTTGTGTCTATACCTCATGCAATTTGTACTGTATGAAGGAAGAAGTGAATGGTTTTTGAACACTTGTGTGACAAGCCAATATCTCAAAGTCCCCCACATAGAACATGGGGTTGGTCACCTTTGCAACACCATCTGCAGAGGGCAGAATGTCCCAGATGAGCCTCTGAGGTCATCATGGGGCATTGTGCTGGTCTGCAAAGGTAACTTAGGAGGATGTGCCATCATAGCCCACTGAGGCTGGGATGGGACATCTCACTGACTTTCATAAGGGGACTTGGGATGTCCCACAGCAGCCTCCAAGGCTGCCTTGGGACATCCCACCCTCCCCTTTGCCAACCAGTGGGATGTCCCATCCTCCCCTTTGCCAACCAGTAGGATGTCCCACAACAGCCTCCAAGCCTACATTGGGACATCCCACCCTCCCCACTGCCAACCAGTGGTATGTCCCCCAACAGCCTCTAAGCCTACATTGGGACATCCCACCCTCCCCTTTGCCAACCAGTGGGATGTCCCACAACAGCCTCTAAGGCTACATTGGAACATCCCTCCCCCCTCTGGCAAGCAGTGGGATGTCCCATGACAGCCTCTAAGGCTACATTGGGACATCCCTCCCCCCCCTCTGTCAAGCAGTGGGATGTTCCCTGAACAGCCTCTAAGGCTACATTGGAACATCCCTCCCCCCCTCTGGCAACCAGTGGGATGTCCCTTGACAGCCTCTAAGGCCTACATTGGGACATCCCTCCCAGCCCTCTGGCAAGCAGTGGGATGTCCCACAACATCCTCTAAGGCTACATTGGTACATCCCTCCCCCCCTCTGGCAACCAGTGGGATGTCCCACAGCAGCCTCTGAGCAAGTGGGGAATGGTGCATTGCTCTTCACATAGTCTTGTTCCCATGTCACTGGTTTACCCCCATGCTACTGATATTAGTACCTGGACAATATATATTGCTCAACTGTTAGAGCACTGTTTATCACCTAAGAGGTTGCTTCAATCCCAGCTCTGGTCACATTTCCATCATAAGGCTACATTGGGACATCCCACTTCCCCCTCTGGCAGCTGGGGGTAGTGTTGCTGTGGCTCAGGGAGCTGTCCTAAGCCAAGGGCCATACCACATCTATATTATTGAGTATTAAAATAATTATTGTGGATTTGGTATGTGGCAACACAAGGCTACATTTGGTAATAGTTGTCATAGTGACTAAGCTGCTTGTTGTTGAGCAGGTCAGCCTTTGGAGCTGAGCCACAGCAACACTAACTGAGGCTATGTCCCAGAACACCCTCTTGGGTTATATTGGGACATCCCACCCCACTCTCCAGCAGCCAGTCCAGTGGCTTGTAGCACCTGGTGAACATCTAGGAGGTCACTGGTTCAATCTTAGGACTGGTCACATTTTCCTCATAAGGCTACATTGGGACATCCCTCCCCCCCCTCTGCCAACCAGTGGGATGTCCCACAACAGCCCCTACACCTACATTGGGACATCCCTCCCCACCATCTGGCCAGCAGTGGGATGTCCCACAGCAGCCTCTAAGGCTAAGTTGGGACATCCCACCCCCTGTCTGGCCAGATGTCCCACACCACTCTCCACATAACACAAGGCCAAAATGCTATCAGACCATTTGCATGATCATAGGAGGCATGCACCCTTGTTGCACTCCAAAAATTTCCAGATTGAAGGACCATGTTGGAAATGGTGTATTCTGTGCATTGCACTCCACATAGTTTTGTTCCCACCTCACTGGTCCATGCCCCATGCTACTGATGTTATCACCTAGACAATATACACAGCTGAGCAGTCAGATCACCTGGTTAACACCTAAGAGGTTGCTTCAATCCTAGCTCTGGTCACATTTCCATCATAAGGCTACATTGGAACATCCCACCCCCCCCCCTCCAGCAGCCAGTGGGATGTCCCACAACAGCCTCTCAGGCTATGTTGGGACATCCCATCCCCCTTCCAGAAACCAGTGGGATGTCCCACAACAGCCTTTCAGGCTATGCTGGAACATCCCATCCCCCCTTCCAGAAACCAGTGGGATGTCCCACAGCAGCCTCTCAGGCTATGTTGGGACATCCCATCTCCCCCTCTGGACACCAGTGAGATGTTATACAAATGCCACAGAGGCAAATGTTGGACATCCTACCCTGTATCTCTGACATCCACATTGCCCTCTGCCCACAATTGGCATATATATTGTCACATTGTAACAGGCTCAATCAATGGCACCAATCAGTTCAAGTCAGATCACCATGATTTTTGGAGATTCAGAATCAGGGCAATGAGACACAGGTCTGCCTTGCAGATGTCCATTTCACATATAACCAAGATTGTGAGCCCATTATTGCATAATTCTTCACACAAGATTCATATCCTTTGAGCCCTGTGTAATTTCTAGAGAACAGTACCAAAAAATATGTGCAGAGATGAAAAGTCAGTGACCAGATGAGCAGTGAGCAGTGAATAACTGCATTTGAGTGGGTGTAGCCATATGCATGAGTAGTTGCTGACATGATCAGGTTCACTCAATGGCTCCAAATGTCATATACATATCATTGCTTGAAATAGTCATGGCACCCAAAGAATGCTATTCAAATTGTATCCAGCAATCATACTCTGCAGGTCTCAAGTGTTGTATTATTTCTCAATCTCATGTCCTTCTACTATGATTTCATTTGAAGCAAGTCTTGAGATGTGAGGCAAGGGGACACAGGTAGGGGGTAGCACATGATTGGTAAGCAGCCACCAAGTGTAGATAAGACAATACTAGGTGTAGAACTTCAGATCACAACAACACACTGCATGATTGCATAAATTTTTGGTACTGTTCTCCAGATGATACACAGGGCTCCAAGGATATGAATCTTGTGTGAAGAAATATGCAATAATAGGCTTCCAATCTTACTTATATGTGCAATGAACATCTGGAAGCAGAGGGCTCTCTACTGCCCAAAAAGCATTGAAAGCCTGCTGGACAATTGATGTATAGAAGACCACTATTAGTTTGCTAAGATGTACAGATGCCTAGATCACTCACAATTTTGATTGTATATGTGAAATCAGCCTATGCTTTTTCAGACTTATATAGTGCTAGAACTAGTCTAATTTTTACACCAGGACCTACATCTAATTTCCCTGATTCTGAATCTGCAAAAATTGCGGTGATCCAACTTGAATTGATTGAGATATCAAAGTTATAACATTTAGCTACTATATGTGTGTGATTTTGTTTATTTGGCCTTGCTCTCAGTTTTGAAAATAGCTGTAACATGAGGAGCAACAAGGCACAAACACAGTAGCTAGGACTGTGGGAATTGTATATACAGATTGAGGCATCATGTACAGTGCCTAACAGCAATGGAAATGTGATGGACATTGGTACCATATGTGATTTGACCCTGGACCACCCCTAACAAAGAGTTGATAAGTGGCTGGTACTGAAATGTAACAGTAATGGCTGGGGCAACTGACACAAAACTATGGGATGTGGTAGAGGACTCCCAGGCAATCAGGGAGAAAGAGGGAAAAACACTGATTGGATCACCTGATCTTGAGGTATATGCTAAACTGCCTCAAAACCCTTCAAACACAACAGTGGGAATATCTCAACAACGAGCAAGCAGAATTGGGTGAACAAGGGCACCCCAGAAATGGGTCAGTGAGAGGGATTTGTGGCTCGAAAAGCAAGAGACGTGGTGCAGATATGCATGAGGTATGATGAGAGGACCTCAAGGGGTGGGCCTTGCCACAAAAATGCAAACATCTCCATAACTACTGCACCAATCACAACAATCTAGACATCTCCAGGGAGTCGTCATCTAGTAGTGCAAGTCTGCAAAAAAGCGAGAGATGTGTCAGAGAAACCACCAAGATACAGCCCCAAGATGATAGGGGTAACTCCAGGCAAGCAAACAAGCAGGTGATGACCTCAGGACAACAGCTGGGGTGATCGACATGGGCCTCAGGAAGGCAGGTTGGGTACTCATAGATAAACATGGAAAAAAAGGAGCCACCATGATCAGACCATCAGATCCTGAGCTACATTGAAACTGTCTCACTGCCCTCCAAACACAAAAATGGTGATATCTCAATAGTGGCTCCATGGAATTAGACAAAAGAGGCCCCCCCAGAGAGGTCTCGGCGAGGGGAACGAGTGGTGCACAAAGCGATAGGAAAGGCACAGGACTGAGTGGAGAGCTGCAGACTTGTCCCCTGAATCTGATGGTAATATCATCACTGACACCAGCTGACATCAATATACAAGCAGGCACATGACAAATATGTTGTAGGGGAAGCAAAAACTACACTAGTAGTAATCTTCATTTATATACTCCTCAGCGAAGTCATCCTCATATTGTGCAGCATTACCCCTGTTAACCCAATGAGGTTCACCCAACTGGGTTGGAGGGTAGTAGTCATTGGTATATGGACCATTGTAGTAAGGATGGTTGGTTCAAGATGGAATGCAATGGAATCCTTGGTGAGATAGAGGAAATTGATTGTGCTAGAGAGAATGCAAGTCAACAGTGAAACCTCTGCAATTGAATTACTCACATGATATGGGATATTAGATGGGCCAGGATCATGATAGTTCATACAGTCACCCTGAGAATCCTACATAATTTTTCCTTAGTCTTGTTACCAAAAGTCAGAGACCTGGATACTCAATTGTCATCCGGGAAAAGACTGCTGGGCTGGGCCAGCCTCTCGCATGTGAGGACAGCTTGGAAGATTATCCCGATGTAGATCCTATATGATGCTTCATTAGTCTTGTTATCAGACTATAGGAACCAAACCCTACCCCATATCACAGAGCAGGCACAGGAGGCTTGGATGGGCCAGGCTCTCGAGTGTGCACATTGCTTGGAATTGTGGATGGGTCACAATGTGAATCTTGCACAATGGGGCATGCATCCCAGTATTGATTGCATGGCGCAGTTCGATAGTCAGACTGTAAAGCCTTGCAAATGTCAGCAGATACTGGATATTGAGTAAAGAGCAGAACTTACCTGGGGACCAATAGTATTGTGATTTGATGCCTCCACGTGGGGTTGCTTCTGAGAGGGAAAAGGGAGTTGTTGCTGCAGTTGGGGTTGTGGCTGTCAAAGGACCTCCATGCCTTGCTGCTGGCAATCCATTTCCTTGAGGGACTTCTGCCACTCTGGATCATCTGAGATCTGCCACAAAACAGTACCATCAGTAGCTTTGACAAGTGCAATCTCACCCTTCAAAGGGTCAGTGTCCAAATTATCAATGACCTCTACACAGAACTTCAGCATCCAACTGGATGAATAAAATAGGGAATACCTTCATTCCAGCACTTAATCTCAATTTCCAGCACATCATCCAGACTATCTTGTTCTTCCTCATCATTGGTTTGCCCATCATACAAAAGACCCAGTTTTCTCTGAAGGTAAGGTACTACAAGTTGACAATGAGGGCCAGCCTTAAGTTTCTTGTACTCAAAACCAGGGCCTGGTGGAGATACACCATGGGGCCAGTTGACAATAGTGAGGTGGCTCTTCCACAAAAACTCGAGAAGCCAGTGCCAGGAAACTCTCTGGGGATCACTGACTTCAATGCCATGTGTGACTGAGCAAGGGATCAAGATAAATGCACATACAGCACAAGAATAACTTGCTGCACAGATCTCTCAATGTGGCCAACATCTTCTCCTTCATCATGCTTCCGAATACTCTGTGGTTGCAGTCTCTCAGAGTCTCCTTTGTACAGCAATGTAGTTCCAGCACAGAACCCACATCTCCAATGGAACCAGTGCTGGCCACCCTGGCATCCACACTGTCGCCATTCCTGAGACACCTACAACAATCCAATGAGGTTGAATGAAACATGCAAGAAATAAACTTACTTGAAAATTGCAGTATACTTATCCATGAGTGACCAGACATCAATGCCATTTTCATTGATGAAGTTTCTTATCATCTCAGAGCCTCCAAATATGCCAGAAGTTTGATGTCCTGCAGGGTCCTGTCCAACATACATTACCAGTCCAACTATCTCAATATCCTCAAGATTGGACCACACCTCTGCCTGTGGAATGATCAGAATCAATGGCTGCACAGTTGCAACCACATACCAATCCACAAAATTGTGTCTTTGCATTGTCCACTCTAGCTGCAATATATTTGACAGATCGATTAGTCAGTATGGTGGAGGAGCTCTCACTCCACTCATAGATGGCTTTTAACTTTTCCCTCCTTGCTGAAAAGTCATCCTTGGGGATGCCTATCATGAGGGTGGTGTACTCCTTCATAATCAAATTGTTGATTGAATTTCAATTGGCTGGTCAGGACATTAGAACAGTAGATGTGAGAGGGAGGAAAGCCATACCACCATCTGGTTTGGGCTGTGTGGCCCAATACCATGAGTGGAAGAGGTTGGCCTCATTAATTTTGGTATGAGAAGCCTTAACACTAAATCCCACAGTGATGAGTATGTCACATGTAGACTGCCCATGCTGTCAGCCAAGTTCTTCTGCTGTCGTCTTGATGTCCTTCACAAAAGCATGTATTTCATATAATGCTGCTGTGGACAGATTCCCCAGCTTCTTGAGGTTCAGGAGTTGGGTGTCATGGTCACTGTGGTTTGCAGCATCAATGTCCTCAGCATCTATAGCCCTACCTTTGCCCATCTCCTGAAGTCTAGTATAGATCAGGCCACCTTCTTGGCAAGGTTGGACAACATCCCCTACAGGATGGGCAGAGTCATCAGACTCATACACAGGTGGTGAGGACAGGAGAAGTGGGGACTGGGCACAAGAAATGGTCTGAGCATTGCAAGCACTGTGAGTCAAAGTGTGGTTCAGTGGTGAAAACCAACCAAAACCAACACAAAAGACAAAACGAGTGAGTGGTGGTGTGCCTATGCAGTACCTAGATGGTAGAACCTGTTCTTTGGGAGGGTTTTTGTGAGCTACAACACTCAAAGACAAGTGCTGAGGGTTGGGGGTGCTCCTGATAAAGAAGAAGCAGGAATGTGAGAGAATGCGATAGGGTAGACTGCTGTCAGCCTACAGAAGGATGGATGATGACTTAATTTGATGTCCTAAGCTGCACTGTGCTCAGGGAGGGCTTTGAGCAAAGTATATTGATGATAGACAAGGATAAGCAGAGTAGACAATAGTTAGACCCTTCATAAAGTCTCAACTATCAAAGCTGCTGAATGAATTACTGAGTGATGATAAAATGCAAGCAAGAGGGGCTCTCTGATGTCTTCTTTTTTGCTATCTAAGTATAGTGATTTATATACAGTACAGGGGTGTTGCCCTTGGAAAACAAGGTGCAAACACTTGGTAAGTGATTGGTAACTGATGAGTAAGGAATGTAAGTGATGGGTAATTGTCTTGGAAAGCATTGGTAAGCATTGGTAAGGACTAGCAAGCCAAAAAGTGAAGAATCAGTAAGCAAAGTCAAAACATTGGTAAGTATTGGCAATAGGTGAGTCAAAGACAGTCAGAATGTCAAAGTATGAGTCAAGTAATGTCAGGAACTGGGAAAGGCACACTGGAATCACATTAGAGGGAGGCTGTGCATGTCACATCTTGAAGAGATCACTTCTAGGCCAAGGTGGGATGACAGAGAGGCAGTGCTGATCTGATGCCGATATAGTACATCCAAAAGTGGACAGGGTGAGTCAGATGTCAACAGGGGTCAAGCTTTGGGGGTCTGTGGGGTGACAGGAGCATAAGGGATTGCAACTTTTCCCCCCCAAACCATCCTCTCAGTGAAGCAAATAAAAACTTCATGAATGAGGCTCTGTTGGAAGAGAGGATGAAGGGGGAGTGTCTTCTGCTGTATCTTGCAACAGGAGGCAAGATGTGCATCATACTTGTCATGGATGTGATCAAGGAGAGTGGAGAACAGTAGATTATACATGTAGCTGTCGCAATCTTGGAAGAATGATGGATGAGACTGGTATGAAGACATTGCAGGGAGCAGGAAGGAAGGATCCATATGCTTCTTGGACCAGAGAGACTGAAATGACCACATAAGACCTTTCCAAGTGAATGACAGACCTGAGGTGACCAAAGAATGTCCTCCTAGAGGTCATACTGACAAAAAGAACATGCTGTCCAAGCTGGATGGGCTGAGAGGGCACAGACAAGGGTGGGATGTACCAGGATGCTTCAGGATGGAAGCTGGTAGGAACTCCTGGTAGATATATGTAGCCATGGTCCCTAGCAAAGGGGACAAGTGAAATGATTGATGTAGAGGCAACCATATCAGAGGAATTTAGCAAAATGAGCATCTTTTGGAGGGAGTGCTGTAGAAATGTGTGGAGTGTGCAAATCCTTTCCAATTTTGGAAGGTAAGATCACGCGGCTGAGCACTACAAGTGAGTGTGGGAATGGTCATGGTATCTGCAGAAATGGCGGAGATATGTTGAAAACTGGAATGCTGTACATGGGCACTTAGGAATTTTAGCCAGCACTTAACTCGCTCCCTTTCTTTTTCTCTGGCACTGATGACTTGTTCTTGTGTGAGGGATGACTGCCAACATTCCTGGCTGTCCTTCTTTGCATGAGGGCTATGGTCTTCATCTCCATTCATCAGCTGTATCCATTTCCACCTCACCAAACACCTTTGGTGTGTGACACCGAGCTTGTCAGCCTCCAACATGACATACCTGGCCATGTACAATTCTGGGATATTTCAATTTCCCTCACAGACCTTGCTACCATTGATCAGATGACAAAAAGCAAGATTTTATGGGATCTATATGAACACAACTTCTGGTTCAAGTTGGTTGCTCTTGACCATGTGATGATGCCTAGCTTGTGGTCAAATTGGGATTCAGAGCAGCTTGATCATGTCTGGCAGGTATGTACAATTTTACCTCACCAGGCATGTGCTGTTTCTGAACTCTACACAGATTTTCCCTGGTGATCCAGAACTCACCATGTGTGCTGAGCCTTTCCCTCAGCAAAATCAAGGCCTCAGCTCATCTGACTTTCAATCAAAATGGGAGTACATAGAGAAGCTCTGGGCATTACTTGCTGTATGGCCAGGATGCCCCACAGACTTGGTGGAGCCAATTATGCCATTAGCATCATCGTCACATGTCTGGGCAATGGAAAAGGAGTTGGCTATATTTTATGTACAGTCATTCTTTGATACTTTTGGTTGTCCACCCCTTCTTCCCTGTCTTATTCCAACTGCACTGCATGGTTATGGTTCAAATAGTCAGTAACCTCCTTCATCATTCCCCAATACCATTTTTACTCTGTATGTTTCCTGAACAATATTCATAGCATGCCACAATTGCAATCTCATTTTGTTCATCACACACTTGCTCTGTCTCTTTCCCCATCACCCTTGCTAGTTGTGTGCAAAGGTCAGTTCACTTTTCTATGCTGGAGGCTAACTATTGGAGACATGCTGGTGGCATCTTGGGGTTGCCTTCCAGCAACCAGGATTCAGTGTCCTGGTCACAGTCCTGTAACTTGGTGTTGCAGGATCATCAGTCTACCACTAACTCACCTAGACAGTTTATGTGTCTGACCAAATTTCATAGATGTCTTTTCATTGACCAAAACAGCTTACTAGGTGTGGTCCCCAAAGTGAGAGGAAGCAATTAATAAAGAACTTACCTTGTTGGACAAAGCACAAATGTGGAGCATTGTCAAGAGACCACAAGGTGTCAACATGGTTGGCTGTACATGGGTGTTCCATATCAAACAAAACACAGAGGGAGAAATTGAAAAATACAAAGCACAACCTGTAGCAAAAGGCTACTCACAAGTCCACAGCATCGACTACTATGATACCTATGCACCCATTGCATGCATGGCATCTATCTGCACCTGTCCTTGCTATTGCAGTGCAGAATGACTGGGATGTTGATGTTTTTGACTTCCAGAGCACTTTCCTAAATGGGAAGTTGGATGATAACAAAGTAATCTACATGCAACTGCCACCCAGACTCTCAGTTAACAGCAAATATAACAACCCTGTCACCCAACTGCACATAGCACTTTATGGATCAAAGCAAGGAGCATTGAAGTGGTATGAGTGGCTGTGCACTGCACTTGTTATGCTCAGTATGTGTTGTGCTGAAGCTGACTGGGGTGTTTTCGGTTGGAATGACCCCTGTCCTTACTTGGACTTAGGCATGTGATCATATCACTTACATAAGCAGTTAGAGCGCACACATACACTAGTAAAATTTACCTAGTCCCTCAGTAGCTTGACAGACTACTGAGGGTGAGTACACTTCTACATAGATAGAATATCCTTACTAACTTGTATAGTTCCCTACAGGTACTATACTCAATATTAGTAGCTTGACAAACTACTGGGGTTCCCTATGGATTCCTCTCTGGGTTTCCCCTCTGCAACCCCACAAACTTCTTCAGATGGCTCACAACAGTTGAATGAATGGCACATACATCCAAGGTGCACCTTGCAGGATCTGGCTCACTCAAATGAGCTCCAATTCATATCTGAATGGTGTCATTGGACAGCTGCTGTTGAGCAGGTGCCAGGGATACTGCATCCACTCAATATGGATGGGCAGATGGTTGGCAATAGTCTGGTTAATGCCACATACATCCAGGCTGCAGCTTGCAGGATCTGGGTTACTCCAATGAGCTCCAATTCATGCCAGAATGGTGTCCATGGAAAGTCACTGTTCAGTGTGCTGGGGATACCACATCTGCTCAATATGGATGGGCAGATGGCTGGAAATAGTCTGATTCATGCCACATACATCCATGGTGCAGCTTGTGAGATCTGGGTCATGGAAATCAGCTCCAATTCATGTCAGAATGGTGTCCATGGAAAGCTGCTGTTGAGCAGATGCTGGGGATACTGCATCAGCTCAATATGCAGATGGGCAGATGGCTGGCAATAGTCCCTGATTAATGGACCAAATAGCATCCAGGGTGCAGCTTGCAAGATCTAGGATCACTCAAATCAGGCTCCAATTCATGCCAGAATGATGTCCATAGGAACAGCCAGCTGTTCAGTAGGTGCTGGGGATACCACATCCACTCAATGCAGATGGGCAGATGGCTGGCAATAGTCCAATTAATACCAAATACATCCAGGGTGCAGCTTGCAAGATCTAGGTCACTCAAATCAGCTCCAATTCATCCCAGAATGGTGTCCATGGCAAGCCACTGTTGAGGGGGTGCCAGGGATGCCACATCCACTCAATGCAGATGGGTGGATGGCTGGCAATAGTCTAATTAATGCCAAATACATCCAGAGTGCAGCTTGTGAGACCTGGGCCACTCAAATCATCTCCAATTCATGCCAGCATAGTGTCCATGGAATGCCACTGTTCAGCAGGTGCTTGGGATACCGCATCCACTCAATATGGTTGGGTGGATGGCTGGAAATAGTTTGATTAATGCCAAATACATCCAGGGTGCAGCTTGCGAGATCTGGGTCACTCAAATCATCTCTAATTCATGCCAGCATGGTGTCCATTGAAAGCCACTGTTCAGTGGGTGCCAGGGATACCACATCCATTAGTGATGGGCCTGTCTTTATGTTTCAACAGGGTACATCTTACTGGGGCAGGGCCCACCCATTTGCTGTGACAATATAAATAATACTACTGAAGGGCCCACCCATATGTTGTGATGCTATACATGAGATTACTGACAGGCCTGTCTTTATGTTTCATCAGAGGTACATCTTACTGTGGATGGGCCCATCCATATGTTGTGACTCTATTCAATGATACTAGTGACAGGCCCATCTTTATGTTTTGACAGGGTACATCTTACTGGGGCCAGGCCCACCCATATGTTTAATATAAATAACACTACTGAAGGGCCTGTCCATATGTTGTGATGCTATACATGAGATTACTGACAGGCCTGTCTTTATTTTCATCAGAGGTACATCTTACTGTGGACAGGCCCATCCATATGTTGCAATGATATAAATAATACTACTGAAGTGCCTGACCTTATGTTGTGACTCTATTAAATGATATTAGTGATGGGCCCATCTTTATGTTTCAACAGTGGTACATCTTACTATTGACAGGCCCATCCATATGTTGTGACATTATGAAATAACATTACTGATGGGCCTGTCTTTATGTTGTGACAGGGGTATGGCTTATTATGAATGGGCCCATTTATATGTTGCAACACCATAAATGATATTCCTCCTGGGCCCATCCTTATGTTGTGACACTCTCCATGTTATGATAGGTGGGCCCACCTTGATGTTGCAACAGGGGTGTAACCTACCAGGATGGGCCTGTCCATGTCTTACAGCAGCTCAGTATTCTTAATTGGTCATGGGCCTGTCTAAATGTTTCAACATCCTTACCCACCATGGGCCCTCCCATATGTTGCTCTCACTTTAGTCCCTTGGGCCTGTCCATGTGTACTGGCTAATCTATTTAGGTGGGCCCATCTCAGGGTCTATATAAGTGTTGGTGTATTGGCACACAGGCTGCCCATGTGTTGTGACTAAGTGTGACTACACTATGTGGTCTGGGAGCAGGAAATGAACACCATATGAAGAAATAGGAGTTAGTGAGTTGAACAACTTCATGTGCCATAACTCACAGCTAGGATGCAATTTCAAATGCATGATGGTCAGCAAATCTATTCACATAATAATAAAAAAACTTGTCATATGATTTGTTAGGCTTGATGCTTGCTGGGTCAATTTGGTGGCTCACATATATAGGGATGAGTTGAGCTGTGTGATAGATGGTATTGATGTGGATGATAGTGACATCTTGAGCATTGTGTGTACAAACTATCCACATCCCTGTGTTGGTGTCTGGGCCATCTCCTACCATGGTCAAACCAATGTAGGATCATGCAAGGATACTCTGAGAAAAAAAACACAGAACACAAGCAACATCCAGCCCAAGCATGCCCTCTGCATGGGGATCAGTTACAACAAAGACACAGTCATAATGGGGGCCTTCATTCCTCCACATAGGGGAACAATGTATATGTTTGTGATGCATGCCATGGAGGCCACTCACATCACTAGGTGCATAGAATGTTGAGGATGCAGAGTTGTAGACACAGAAAGATCCATCATAAAAGGGATATTCATCCAAGGGGACATCTTCCAGATTGTGATCATCATGCTGAAGCTGCAATTGAAGAAAATGGCACAAGATATTGAGGAGCTGGGGTATGTTGAGTTCAGTTACTAGGTCCCTCATATTCCTTTCATGCATACATTCTATGATCAACAAATTAGAATTCATATGCATGAAGCTATGAGCAAAGGCATACAGTAGGTCCAGGCCAATGATACATGGGCCTTGACTGACATAGGAGAGTCATCCATATCACCTGCATCTTCTTCAAAACTTGCTGTGGGTTCATCAGCCCTGTCTTTGCAGTCCTGATTGTTTGACATGTCATGGTCAGTCTCATTATGAGTCTCATTACAATATTGTTCTAGAATACAGTCAGCATCAAGAACAATGTCTAAGAAAAATGCTCACACCTAGAGTTCCAAGCACATGTGACAGACAAGTCCCTCTCAACATACCACATTTTTTGAAGTCTGCACACACTGCAGCAAATTTGTCAAGCCTCTGGTTGATCACAAGCATCTGTCCAAGAGCCTGAAAGTGGCTAGTATGCCAATAAGGTCGCTTGACTGCTTTGATATGTTTGGACTCGGTAATTGATGAACAGAGCCCATTCAGTGTGCTGAACTGGCATATAAGATAGGGATAATGCTTTATAGCATGTTGCTGGGGTAATGACAATGTAGTGATTACTTGGGCATTCTGGAAGACTTCATGATACAAGTGGAAGCATGTGAGTGTGTCCTCAATTGTGGTCAGCATTGGTTCAGTGATAACATTTTGGCAGACAAGGTAGCAAAACTTGAGAAAGGCATGAGATGTGCAGATGATGTCCTCTGGGGCATAGCCTTTGATGGCTGCAATATATACCTGTAGAGGACTGTTCAATCATCATACACCATTTAAAAAGGATTGGAGAACCTTCATGAGGCCTTTGGAGTCATCACCAGTCCATTGTTTAAAGTGTTGGCCTTGAGGGAAATGTCACAGCCCAGTAAATGGGGTGACAGCTGTGATCCTGGAAATCAATGAGGTCAGTCAGTGCATGATAACAGAGGTCAGCCAACACACCTTCAATCAATATTGTCCAGTGTTTTTTCTGCAGCACCCTTTCCATGAATATGGATGAGATACCTTTCCACCCAGTCAACCAGGTGATCTTTGAATCCACCCTTGATGAGTTGATGAAGAATGTCTGGAGAAAGCATTCTCTGGATGTTCACATGCAGAAACATGCTTGTAAATGGCTGTCCTCAATCAGTCATGAAAAAAGAAGTGAGTATATTGTACATACCACTATGTCTCCATCAATTCCATACCCTTCTCAAAGTGTCTAAGGGTCCAACTCCCTGATGATCAATTCAGTGTGCTCACAGTGATGCCAGAGTGCATCTTTGTCAAGGTTCTCCTGGTGTGTGAGACATTTTGGACACCAATTATGCATGATGCATGACAAGAGGACCTGCTCTTCATAGTCAGCTATGTAAGCTGCAAGTGCATAGATGACATGTTGGTAGTACTGATTGCTGAATAGTACTATTTCCAGAACTGTCATCACAGGACCAAGTGACCAAAGAACATGTGCCAGTGACAAATGAAGGAGCTGCTTCTTGAATTTATGGAACACTTGTGTATTAGCATGCTCCCTAGTCACTATTGGGCTATCAGCAGTTGTATGAATTAATAGGATTTGAAGTGCTTATTCTTTGGCATTGCAAGGAATCCAATGAGCACTACCACATTGCAGTGTGCATGATGAGTGGTGTTGTGCACATTTCTGATGGAAAGATAGAGCAGGTAGTAATCCATTTGCCCAGTTGCAATGGAAACAGTGGTCTTGTCACTGCCAAGGATGATGGGAACCAATGTTGCTCTGGCTGCCAATGGGTTATTGCTGATAATCTTGTCCTAGAAGTATGAGATTGGTAGGACCTACATTGAGACAAACCCAGTACATACCACTTCATCCCAGGCCCAGTTGCCTGACATAAAATCCTCCCAACACCTCTGATCACTTGTGGCATTGAACTCCTGGTATGGCACGAAGTCCATTTGATCCTTAAAGTCAGTGCAACTGAGGAGGTTGTGGATAACTCAACAGGGGTCTTGATACCATACATCATAGATGTCAAACATCCAAGGGGCCTTGGGTTCATCTTGGCCATCTTGGCTATCCTGACCATCCTGACTGCCCAGTTTGATCACTTTGTCCTGTTCATCTGGTTTGTCCTGTATGTCCCACTGTCACACACCAAAGGTGTTGTGGACATGGTTACAGCTGACTCTGCCTAACTCATCAACAAGTTGCATGCAATGCCCATGAATGCAGATGAAGACTAAAGGCCTCATGTGTAGAAAGACTGCTGGATGAGACCAGTCATCCTTTGCACAAGAACAAGTCATCAGTGCTAAAGAGAAATGAGGAAGCAAGTTAAGCATGCATTAAAGGTTTTTAGCACCGATGTATGGCATTCCAGTTTCTGCTGTATCTCCACCATTTCCAAAGATATTGACTCCATTCTCACACTCACTTAAAGTGCTCAGCCACACCATCCTGCCTTCCAAATTTAGAGAGGATCCTCACACCCTATGCATTTCTACAGCACTCCATCCATCAGATGTTTGCCATTTCCAAAGATATCAACTCTGTTCTCACACTCACTTAAAGTGCTCAGCCATGTGATTCTGCCTTCCAAATTTGGAGAGGATCCTCACACCCTACACATTTCTACAGCACTCCATCCATCAGATGCTCACTTTGCTAAGTCCATCAATAATGGCTGCCTCTTTGTCAATTGTCTCACTTGTCTCATTTGCCAGAGACAGTGGCTACATATATCTGCCAGGCATTCCAACCAGCTTCCATCCTGAAGCCCCCTGGTTCATCCCATCATTGTCAGCCCCATCTCATCCCATGCAGCTTGGTCAGCATGTTCTCCTTGTCAGTATGACTTCCAGAAGGATGTTCTTTGGTTGCATCAGGTCTGTCGCTTGGTTAGAAAGGTCTTATGTGGTCATTTCAGTCTCCCCTCTTGATGAAGCATATGGATCATTCCTCCCTGCTCCCTGCACCATCTTTATTCCAATCTTGTCCATCATTCTCCCCACATTGCAACAGCTGCAGCATAATCTACTGTTCTCCAGCCTCCCTGATCACATCCATGATGAGTATGATGTGCATCTTGCCTTCTTACTGCAAGATCCAGCAGAAGATGTCGCCCCTTCTCCTCCTCCATCAGAGCCCCATTCATGAAGTTTTTGTTAACTTCACTGAGAGGACAAAAGGGTGGGAGATGCAATCATGTATGCTCCCATTGCCCCACAGAGCCCCAATGCCCTAGCCCCTTTGATGCCTGACTCATGCCCTTCAATTCTGGAATTAATACTTCCCTATCTGGACACACCATCCATCTGTCATGCCATCTTTGGATAGATGTCTCTGCTGAGATCTGACTTGCATTGCCACCCCCTAATGTGATATCAGTGTGCTTACTCAGATTCTGACTCTATTTGACTCATTCTGTGATATTTTGACTATCCTTGACTTGTTCATTGCTAATACTTACCAATCCTCTTTGCTTGCTTACTTTTCATTTCTCACTTACTCATCATGATTACTCAGTCCTTACTCATTACTTACAAAGTGTTTGTGCCTTGTTTGTCACAAGCTGCACTCCCCCCACAGTATATGAAACCCTCATGTACTTAGCTACAACAAGAAGCAAGCAATCCAGAAGTCACTTGGCAGTCAGTCAGTTCAGCTCTCTCTCAGGCATAACTTGTTGTTGACAGTTGAGGCTCATTCAGAAGAGTCTATCTGTCATCATTTGTATACTTGGTAGTTGAGGCTCATTCAGAAGAGTCTATCAACCATCCTTCATCATCTGCAGTCCACCCCTCACTTAGTCAGCAGTTTTTGCTTGGTCATCCCACTACTCCTGCATAACTCAACATCAACTTGTGCTAGGAGTCCTTTTGGCTGAACACCCTTTCTCCATTCAGCATCCCCTTCTCAATCAGCATTCACTCACCCCCTCCTGCATAACTTGTCAATGACTTGCACCAGGAGCACTCTACTTGAAGTCCCCCCCCCCACATCAGGTTTTTCTGCCCTCCAGGTTCCATGGAGGCAAACCACCACTCACTTCTATTTGTCTTTTGTGTTGGATTTGGTTGGTTTTCACCACCTTTCCTCACTTTGACTCACACCACTTGTGCTTGTAAGTGATTTTGAAGTTTTCCCAGTTGACTGTACCAACTGACATGCTGTCTATCACATGATAGAGATCTGTTTGGTTGGTGAATAGTGGATTGCTGGCTAACTCAAGCAACAAGGTGGCCCAGATTTCAAGCAACATGTCGATTTGGTTTGCTGGCATTTCTGCATGTTTGAAAAGAAACTCAACAAGTTTGAATTCTAATCAATTGTGGTATGGAGCCCAATCATCCAGCAATCCCTGTATATGAAGCAGTGGTGGAGCATCATCTGGTAGAAAATGGCCCTGGGAGTCACACCTTCATGCTGTAATAAATTGTATGAGTAGAGGTAGGATAATGTGTGCATAGGCTTACTGTTAAGACCTGCATGATAATTGTGGTAAACCTTGTTGCCAGGACCAATGAATTTGTGATCATTCCATCCAATGTTGCACCACAGTTGAAGTCATGTGGACCATCATCATAATCTAGAATGTGTTCAGCTACTGGGGGTATGGCATTTAAACTGTGGTCCTGTTTGGAGTAACTGTAAGACCCTTGAAAGTGGTCAAGGTGCAAATGGCTGCACTTGTGCTGAGTGAGCCCTGACCAGTTTTTGAACCAATGGTTGCAGCCTGGCATGTCACAAGGAAGACAGAGAGTGCTGAATTTTGTCTGTTGAGAGCTTTGGGTGCTGCCTCTGCATGGCAACATTTTGATGATAAATGAACACGTTTAGGGACCCTTGCATGATTGGTAAATGATCAGAAACCTAAGTTAGGCAGAACTTTGTGTATTTGTTTGCAAGGAAATTTTCTTGCATAAAAAACAACAGGTTCAAACTCACCTTGTGCTGTCTTCATCTCCCCCCATGCATGACAAGTATTATGTTGGCTTCTTCTAATATTTGTCCATGACAAGAAAAGGCCAACCTGCATCCAGGGAGGATTGTTCTTGAAGTGCAGACTCAATGGCATACCCCAGCCCAGAAGAAGGCTGATGACTTGCATGCACAGGAAGTTATTGATGCTCAGGCAGCTGCTACCCAGCAGGCTCTTGCCTGATTCAGGGAGATGGAGACTGCCATGGAGGTCAGGCAGGTTATCCAAGGCACTGCCAAAGCAAAGCCAGTCAGACCAAAACAGGTGCCTGCCAGTAGAGATCCTGGCCAGGAAATCAGCCCTCCTGTTGTGACAGAGACCAGACAGGCAATCCAAGTCACTGCTAAAGTGAAGTCAGTCAGACCAAGACAGGGGCCTGTCAGCCTTCAAGGAAAGTTGTCCAACCTTGCAGTGAAGGTGAGGATGTTTTGGTGATGTCATCCAATCACAGACACTGATTACATATCAGTTGAAGTTGCTGATATGCAAGTCAACACTCACCAGGTTGAAGAAGTTTGTGGGGTTGCAGAGGGAAACCCAGAGAGGAATCTGTAGGGAACCTCAGTAGTCTGTCAAGCTACTGAGGGACTAGGTAAATTTTACTAGTGTATGGGTGTGCTCTAACAGCTTATGTAAGCGACACGATCACATGCCTAAGTCCAAGTAAGGACAGGGGTCATTTCTACATCACATGTTGCTATTTCTGAACCTGGAGGCAGGTGTGTGATTAGCATGTAGATTATGGAAAACTTTCCCCATGTAGTTGGGAAATCATTTGCATTTACATGGGAGTTGATGGATGGATTGGGGGTGGTCAGGTTGGTTGTATGTGGGAATGAGAAGTTCTGGATGAGACAGTATTTGCCTGGGTGTTCAGGTTTGGGGATGATAGAGAGGGGGGAGGACTGGAAAGGGCTGATTAAGGCTTCAATTGTTTCCAGCAGGCATGGGCGTATGAAGCAGTTTTTCTCAATTTCTTTATGGACAATCTTATTAAGTTCACTTTGGTAAATGGCAATGGAATCTTTGTTTGGGGGGGATTATGTATGTGTGATTGGGGGGAAATCTACATTGAAGCCCTGGCAAAGGCCCTCCAGGATACTACTAGAGCATTTGATTAAGTTAAATTTTCGAAGCTCTCTGCTCCACACTTCTACTTTATATGGAGTTGTTGGTTGTGATCAATTGCACTCAAGGGCATTTCTGAGCTCTGTGAGTCATTGCCCCACATCCCAAGCAGAAGTGTCTGGTATTATGCCACTCTGTGCAGCCCTCATCTCGCTGCCATTTCACACAGATTCATCATCAGCCTTTGGCAAAGAGGGCCTTATAGATCCTTTCTGCGAAAACTTCATGTTTCTTGTCCCAGGTGTGGGTGGCTCTGCATTTGATGACAAGGTGGCAATGGTGCCTGAGGCATACTGTGCAGGCCAGGAGGGGATGTGAGTTGGGGAAGCTATTGTTCTGAAATGATCTCTGTCATTTGTGGTCTGCATAATCATGTGTGGAACCTGTGTGAGGGGAGAGAGAGAGGGTGTTTCTGCCTGCTGGGGTTCCTCACATAGCTCGCTGGGGAGGTGGATTGGTTGGCAATGGCTGTGAAGAACTCATTGACCTGTGGAAATATTGGGAGTGAGGTTGGATGAGTATAATCATTGGACATGATGCTGGAGTGGTATGTAATGCATTGTGTGTGTGTGTGGGGGGGGGGGGGGGAACACATGGCAGTTAGTGAGGATGAGTGTTGTTTGGGTCTGTCAGTCAAGGTGGTCATTGGTGAAGGAAGAATGAACACACCTTGCAGAGGTTCTCTAATTGTTTTGTTTTCTCATTGTCAAGAATCTCCTCCTTTGCTATGTTGAGTAACTCCTCATTCAGTTCCACTAGGGACCACCTATATTGCCCTAGTTTGGAATGGTGCCATCACTGGCATTGTTGGCTTTGATAGAGTAGTAGAGCACATTTGTAATGCTCATGCAATGAGTGACACCAAGGGTGACTTTCAATTGCCATCCAGAATTTGAGGTGCATCTTTACACTCTCTTCTGGCCAGTCATGATCCCTCATCACATTGATCATGCAGATAGCTGCTTCTCTGAATTGTTCCCAGGTGAGGTCCTCATCTTTGATGATTGTGGATTTGTCTCTGGTTGAGGAGGTAGGCACCCAGAGGTGTGGACCATTGTCAGTTTTCAGTAGTGTTAAAGCTTTGTCATCTACAGAGGGGTTGTATGATTCTGCTTCTGCTAGTCCCACATTGGTGAAGAAATATAACTTGCAATATTCTCCTTTGAGGAGTTTGTGCAAAGCATAAGGGGTGGGGATGTTGACTGGTCCCATGGGGGCTTTGATGTCACAGATCAGCATGGACTTCACTTTGTATTTCTTGTGCTCCTCGAGACATATGGTCTCCTCTTCCTCATGAGCACAGCAGTCCTGTTCTGCCTGCTCTTCTGCAGCTTGTTCTTCTGCCTCTTGTTCTCTGTGAGCTTCTTCTGTTCAGTGTGCTGTCCACTGTGCTTTCTCTCTGTCATTGTTAATGTCCCAGAGTGAGCCCAGGATTTGGGCTGCCTGTGTGTTGTCTACTGTATCACTGACTGAATGGAGATGCACCTCATTGTATTCCTCTGTTGAAGAAGTCAGGTCTCACTGCTAGATTGGGGTCTTCCATACTAATGTGCAAAAAAGGAGCAGAGGAGGCAGAAACAAGGGCTGGATGAGTGAGTTCTGCCCACAGCAAAGTGTGCTGAGGCAAGGCACATTACTCACTTTGCTTACTCAGACATGGACTACATTCTATGTCATGCTCCATGACTCCACTTACATAGAATACTAACTATACAAGCAACAAGCCACAGAGTGGGAGAACAGCTAGCTGCATGCTGAGAAGGCAAGGTGCAGTCACCAACCTTGATCTGCTGGCAAATGTGGCATCAACACATGGATCCAATGAAACGTCCCAGCAGAAATTTGTTCTTATTTTCAACTATTTGATGCCAGATGCTGCTACTTACTGAGTCAACTTTGTTTTGGCTGAACCTCACCTGGAATGCTCTCAGTGCCCCAGATGACCCAAACACCAACTTGGACTGCCAGGTCCATCATTGGGTCAAGGATGTCCCAACTGGGCTGATGCCATGATCCAACAGACTACCAACTTCCATCCCTTCTTTGACAAGCAGAGCTACTACTGCTGTCAACTCCAATACAAGCCTGGCATACCAGGTACATGCTACATTATCAAGTAGGATCAGTCATCTTCAACATCTTCAATCAGGGAAAGATGCCTGTGCCAACCCACTGTGTGGACAAAGAGGAATTAGAAGACCAACTGGCTTTCTCTGTCAAGGTCATAGGTCATGACAAATTCAAGGTATGTCTCTTGATGCAAATTGACCATTGTGTTATATTGGTTTTAGGTGGTGGCAAGCATGGCTAATGATATAGAGAGTGACAGTGAATTCAATCAGCTCATTTTCGAGGAGGCACAGACCAGCTCAAAGTGCAAGTATTTGGATCATGACGATGCCAACTATGTTACCTCATCTGAGGTTGAGGACTTCAATGATGAATACTTTGACATTGAGGATCACAATTTAAACTCTTGTATGTTGCCAGCTAAGGAATTGCATGTCATGATGGTATGTTTTTTTATCTATTTGAACTGTACATTAACTCTTTTTGAATCACAGACCAATAATGGAGTAGATGAACCAAAGAAATCAAAGGTTGACAGGGATGCAGACCAAGAATTGGGACAGAGGAGCACTACAGCAGGTCAAGCACCTTCAACAAGGACCACAGGCAAGGCCAGCAAATGCTCTCATTACCAAAGCCAAGATCTGCTTTCTGTGCTAATGGTGGGCAAGATGTGGGCAAAAGAAATTATGCCTGCTCTCCTTGTGTGGGCTGGAAGCTTAGCTGACCCTTGGACAATCTCAGATGAAGAACTCATATGGTTTCTGCAAATCATTATCCTGACCATTGCTCTGGACTTTGAGGACCTGAATGACATTCATCCTGGGACAGCAGTCTTTAATATCATATTGTTAGTATTATTTACCTTGCTACTTGACTCATGCTTCCTTGGACAGGTGTGTCAATGACTCTGCCAGTGGTGCAGCAACTTTGGATCCACTGCAATCACTCTTATTGCTCACTTCCTTGTCTCAGATCCAGAAATTGGCATGCTGTCTCTTACTCAGGCCCAGGAACTCTGCTCTAAGCTGTTGGAAGGCTTCGCATCTTTATATTCAGACCAAGATTCTTGAAAACTGGAGAACATTTTCCAGTCATACTTTGCATTATACCTCCTTGGCCATGCACATCTGCAGCCCTGTGCTGATTCTCCTGATGTCCCAAAACTGAAGATCAGGGAACTGAAAAATACAGGCATCAAAGGCACACTAGCCCTTACCTGTGCCAAAGTAATTTATTGCATTTTAGCCCTAGACAGTCAGCTAACTTATTCTCTTTAGTTGCACTGTACTCTTTCCCTGTTCAAAACTGGCAAACTGCAAATTGACACTAAGCACATGTCCTTCAGAAAGGCAGCTATCAAGATCCCACTCAAGGTGAACAAGGCAACTGGGAAGGAGTTGTTGGCTGTTTCAGCATTCTCCAAGCAGAATTGTGGCCCTCACACCAGGCAATATGCTATAGCCATTGCTAAGCATGACAATGCTGTGCTCTGTAACATCATTATGGGAGCAACTATGCTCATTCCATACAGTATAGATTGCATGTCAGAGGGAGGGAGCTTTCAATGTGGGAAGGATGACATCAATGATTTAATTGCCACTCTTTGTAAGTCACATTGTTATTTATGCACACTACTAACAAGTTGTTGATAGGATCTCATGATTTGGACATGCTCTCATTCTCTCCCCCCTTCTGCCCTGAGTCACTCATTGCCAACCACAATCATTGAATTAATTGTCTTTTTTTGTGCTTACTTGAGTCACCCTCATTTTGGATTGTCATAGGCCTACACTCATTTAATGTTTTCGGCACTGCACTGCTTTATCATGAATGCATCACATTTTATGTGAGCTGAACAAAAGTGAAAATAGTGAGAATAAGTACTAAGAAAGTTGCAGTTGACAACAAGTCAGATAGTAGTAATAGTGGGAAAATAGCATAAATAATCAAAAAATAGTACAAAAAATAGTGTGGATAGTAAATGAACCTACTAACAAGACTACTATTTCTTTTCTGACTATTTTGGTGTGAATAAGGCACAAATAGTATGAATAGTATGCAAAATAGTAATGTGTGAATTTGCTGATGGAATAGACTGGAGGATATAGTGAGATATTTTGAGTATATCATCCTTGAATTCAAGCTCCAACCAACCCTAATCAGGCTTGAATTCATAATCCCAAGCTAGTAATGGGGACACTTATTTTCTGTGACTGACATTGAAAATCAAGTATATAAATCGTGGCGACCATAACGACACTGATATTTAGTGGTTTTTACTTTTTACAGTGGAAGGGGGGAGGCGAGAGACGATAGTAATAGTACATTGAGACGACACATAAGCTACACTGATAATGTCCGAGATGCAGAAATATACGATACCGTACAAGGACTGACCAAGATCGAACAGGGTAGTCCAGGACCTACACTACAAAGCCGAGTCTTGAAAGGTCCCCACCCATTTATCGAGGATAGATGGCGTTAGTTACAGGTGGAAAAGAGAAAAAGAAAAAGCTAAACAGTGATCCACGACGTGGGCATCGACAGTGAACTAATAGATAGGACAAGCGCGACAGAAAAGGGGGGGAAGGAGCGAGAGTGATGAGAAGATACAAGACGAGAAAAGAAAAGAAGGGGCATAGTGGCGGGGAAAGTGGGAAGGGGAGAGGAAAAGGTCCGTTGAGAAGAAGTCCGCTGCGCGTCGAGCTCACGACAGACCTACTGGACGACCTCGTATAGGAAGCAGTCGGGGTACTTGGCCTTGATCTACTGTTCGACCCACCAGTAGGGGGTGAAGTACGTGATGTCGGTCTCGTCAGCAGGGCCTGCACCACCGGTGAGGATTCCGACGATGCGACCATCCCTGGCGAGGATGATGGACCCGGAGTCGCCAGCATGGGAAAAATTGCCGCGTGTCTTGTCGTAGGACAAGACGGCGATGTCGATGGAGGTGTGCTTGGTGCCGTATTCATCGTAGATGCGGGTGAAGGACTCGAGACCGTTGGCGCGACCGACGGTGGTACCCGTGGACATCCCATTCTTGACGACGAGCAGGCACTTCTCACCGTAGACGTCGAGGTGCTGGGGGTCGTGGATCTCGTCGTCCTGGATGACGCTGTAGGCCTGGAGAAGATCATCCTGTGGGTACTGGTAGTTCGCTTGATCGACGGGATGAGGAAACATTGTGTTATGAAAGTCAGCGACCGAGAGGTTACCGCCTGCGGAGGAAAGAAAAGTAATAGTCAACTAAAGGCAAGAAGACAGGAGATGAAAAATGTGACGAGAGATGAAGACGAGATGGAGACAAAGATATGGAAAAAAGACGTACCGATGTAAACTTTGTTGCCTTTGAACGTAGCCCAGTCAATCTTCTTGTCGTACAGCTCGATTAAAGCCCAGTCTTTGGTGAAATTGTGAGGCCCGTCCGAGACCTCGATGTTCTCGGAGTGACGCACGAAGCCAATAACGCGCAAGTTAGGAGTGGTACGGTACCTGGTGACCTCGTCGTGGAGCGCGTTCACCTCCTTGATCTTCTTCATTGCCTTCGCCACCAACTCCACGTGCTCCTTGCGCCTTTCGGTGACCTTGCTGTTCTCTCCCTCGACGGGCTCCCCCAGCCTGCCAAGCGTGTCGTTCCAGCCTTCGATGGAGCGGAGGAGGTTGCCGATGGTGACTATCATGGCCGTGATGGCGTTGTCGTAGCCCGTGTAACCAAGCGCGACGAACTTCTGACGAGTTGGGCGTGTCTTCTTACGTGCCATATTCATGTTGGCGTAGACAGGAGGGGGGAAGGCAACGTGGGCGCAAGTCAGGATCGCGGTGCGCTTGTCGTCTTTGCCAAGGCGGAAGTAGAGAGCGGCTGTGCCTTCGAACTCGGGGTACTTGAGGGGTGCAATGGAGAGACCGAGAGCGGCGGTGAATGGCTTTCGCAGGTCGGAGACGTCGTCAAGGGGGTCGAATGAGAGGAGCTTGGGGCCGACAGCAAAGGAACGAGTTACTACCGACTCAACAAAGGCCACCTCGATGGTGGGGAAGCCAGCCTCAGTAAGGATGCCCTTACGATGGCGGCAGCGGCAACAGCGGCATGGTAGAGGAGGGAGTGGGGTTTCACACCGATGGAGAGGATGAGAGGACAGAAGGGCTTGGCCTCCCCGGCATCGGCGTAGGCGAGGGGGTTGATCGACGTCCACTGCACGCCATCAGAGTCGAGGTTGTCGTAGATGCGCTTGCCGATAGCAAGCCAAGTGGGGCCAATGGCGTGGCGGTAGACCGGGCGAGCCTCACGTACGATGCCCTGGGCCTGAGGGCCCTCGCGGACGTGCCAGGCAGGGCCAGATTTGAAGACGCAGGGAGTACCGCTGCCATAGAAGTCGCTGTAGGCGTTGGCGTACTTGTCAGTGAGGCAGGTCGCCTTGGAGTCGACATTGTCCATGGCCGTCCTCTCGTCATGGCTCGGGAGAGAGAAATCGCCGGAAGAGAAGGCAGTCGGGGGAACGAGTATGTCGGTGGAGGAGATGGGAGACTGGTTCCCGACCTGCGTGGAGATGTCTAAACAGCCGTCGAGGAACTCCTTGCTGATGTTGAGAGCGTGAGCGGTGACGGACGTCACTGTCGACGAGAGAGCAGCTAGTAACGAGGAGGGATCAATAAAAGCGAAGAGGGCTTACTTGTAATCTCCCCTCCGTCGACTCAGCGTGTGCCTCTAAGTTGCTTCACAAGCGCGTCCCTTTGCGTTTTCTTGCTTGTCTTGTAGTATTCTGACCTTGCTTCTTTTTCCCAGTGCTTTACTATGCACAGCAAAAAGACCGCCAGTATACGACCAAACCCAGAGGTACTATTGAACCTCTCGCTGGGCTACGGTCCCGCACTCGACGCACACGCTCGACATCCAGTCCAAACATGTCCATGTGATCTTAGCCATTGCGGAGGCTGACTTACGTTATCCGTTCTCAGTGAGATTAGGTTCAACCCCGACCCCGGATAAATGGTTCTTCCGGCCCTGGCTAACGAGTACTGCGTGTGGGGTGGATTTCCATTCAAAATTTCAAATGACGAAGAGGATTTCACCGACCTCCAGCTTAACCTTTCGAGTGCGTGGCTCCATAATCGAGGAAGGAAGATTGTCTTCCGACGACGTTTGCATCTTCTTACGGGAAACTGGTGGGCGCCTAAATCAATTCGTGATGCATATCTGTAAAGCCTTCACCTCGGACAGTCGCGAGTCGTGAGGGTCAGAACCACTCGAGGTACGCGTTCGGCACGAAGGAAGTTTCGGTTCAGTTTTCAGACATGATAATGTTATTTCTTTCAGAAAGTGTAACCCACGACTCTCGGACTCTGACGTACACTATTCAGTCTTCTGCCAGTGCATTCAGCGGGACTAGTACAAAAGGGAAGGGAAGGGAAGAAGAAAAGAAAATTTTCTTTCTCCTCTGAGGAAGGCATATAACAGCTATGTACATTTCTCCGCTTTTTTCTTCTTCTCGTTTATCAGCTCCTGAATCGCTCCCCTCCTTCCATTGACCTCAGAGTTTGTGCAACTCGTCTCCTCCTCCAAACATGACCACGTCTACGTCATGGCTTGGTCTCTGTCTGGTTGGCGCTGGGATTTTTCTCATCAAGCGCATCATATCAAAGAAGAACCCCGCTCCCTTTCCTCCAGGTCCGAAACCCCTTCCCCTCATCGGTAACCTTCTGGACATCCCTTCTGAAAAGCAGTGGCTCACATTCTCTCATTGGGCTGACAAGTTCGGTCAGTATATCCTTCACTCATACGGCCCTCGAAATTTCATCATTTACCTTTACAGGTGACGTGGTACACTTGGAGGTATTTGGCGAACATATCGTCATCCTCAACTCTGTAGATGCTGCCGTCGAAATGCTCGATAAGAAGAGTTCAATCTATTCTGACCGCCCCGTCCTCCCTATGGGAGGTGAGCTGGTTGGATGGAACGAAACCCTTGTCCTCCTGCCCTATGGAGACAGGTTCCGCCAACACCGCCGGAACTTCCACCGCGTCCTTGGCAACCACGCTGCTGTTGCTGTATACCATCCTATCGAGGAAGCAGAGACCCATAAGTTTTTGCAGCGCGTCCTAGCCAAGCCTGCTGATTTGATCGCCCACCTGCGCACGTATGTCAAATGTGATATGCTTTGCCTTTATCTTGTACTACCTCCACTACAGGACTGCAGGGGCTGTTATCTTGCGTATTTCACATGGGTATTGTATCCAGGAAGGCGGCGATCCTTTCGTGGACCTTGCTGAGAAGGTCTTAGACGATTTTGCCCGATACACTATTGTAGGCACTTTCTTGGTCGATAGGATCCCTGCTTGTAAGTCAGCATTCAGGTTTGCAATGTGGTAAATTGATCCGTATTTGCCAGTGGGGTATCTTCCCGAATGGTTCCCTGGCGCTGGCTTCAAACGCATAGCAAGAGAGTCGCGTGCAGACCTCCACAAAATGTTTGACCAATCATTTGAGTTTGTCAAGGAACAGATGGTAAATCAACCAATAGAAAGATAGCGTGGCCTCACTCACTATGCCAACCAGGCTGCTGGCGTTGCTAGTCAATCAGTCACTTCAGACCTCTTGGAACGCAAAACATCGACTGAAGAAGAGTACGACATCAAGTGGACAGCTGGGGTGATGTTCGCCGGTATGGTACCACCCCCTTCTACATCGTTACAGTGGCTTATGTCCTGATCCTACAGGTGGTTCGGATACGGTAAGTCGCATATCCCATGCCTAGGGCAAAGACACGGACGTTTCGCAGACCGTTGCTGCGCACTCCGCATTCTTCTTGGCTATGACTCTCTACCCAGAGGTTCAAAGGAAGGCTCAGGCAGAGATCGACGCCGTTATTGGTTCTGACCGTCTCCCCACATTTGCGGATCGTGAATCTCTTCCCTATGTCGACGCACTTGCCAAAGAAGTCCTCCGTTGGCATGTCGTCGGTCCCGTCAGTACGTCTCGCTGATGATCCCACTAGTAATACCGCTGATTTTTTTCAGTAATGCCGCACCGCCTGCTTGTCGACGACATTCATAACGGCTACTATATTCCGAAGGGAACCCTGGTATTCAGCAACGCCTGGTAAGTCTTCTATTGCAGGTCGCCATTGACCATGATCCAACTTCGCCTTCTCTGTAGGCGCATGCTGTATGATCCCTTGATCTATCCCGACCCCAAGGAATTTAATCCCGATCGCTTCCTTCCGGGAGAGGGTAAGCCATTGCCACCTGATCCGCGTGACGTATGCTTCGGATTTGGGCGACGGTGAGATCGGGCAGATAATTTGGTCTCTATTGACATGCTTACAGCGTCTCTTGTAGCATCTGTCCTGGTTGGTACTCTCTCTGCAAGGCCTCCTATGGATAAACGAGAGGTAATGAATGGATTTGATAGTATACCAACAGGTTTGTTCCTCGGTGAGGCCTCGGTGTGGATCATCGTAGCCATGTCACTCGCTGTCTTCAATATCTCGAAGGTGGTTGAGAACGGAGTTGAAATCACCCCGGAAGTTGATCCCACGAGTGGTACCATCAGGTATACGTCCTCATCCCACAAGTTTCCGTACCTGAGGACTTTTGTTTTTCTATAGTCACCCTAAGCCAGTTCAAGTGCTCGATCAAAGCCCGGTCTGCGAAGGCTGTTGAGCTGATCCAACAGAATCCTCACCTTTGATTTTCAATATGGAATGTGCGTCTCGGAGGCAAATCGTCCGTCATGGGTGAAGCCCATCTATGCATTCACTCGTGGACACGTCTGTTCAGTTTTGTGAACACCTGTAGGTTATTTTGAGTGGCCAAGTAGTTGCAAGTTCAGGACCTGGCATTCGGTATCTAGTATGCGGACACTGATTAGCGAGTCATGGGTAGGCGCCGGAAAGTATTATCTCTATCGTCCATAGTATCTGCTGCGGATTAATATACATGTATGTACATGAAGTGCTGAGTACATCAGTAAACCACTTTGTGTGCTGGCAGTCCTAGGGAATCTGTCCAGTGCTGGACAGCTCTGGACAGCTCTGGACAGCTCTGGCCAGCAAAAGTGATTTACTGATGTATAAATTTCAGTCACCCTGAGTCTAATATTGCCATTTAGGAATTGTGGGTCATGTGGTGAACAAGGTGCCAGCTGTTGGTGATGGTCCTGCTCTAGTATGCAAATTGAAAAAGCCCTCCATACTGACCTTCAGTGTAAGAAGGGTCCATGCACTTAACACATTCCAACTTGAATGCTGAGGATTAAACATCTGCATCTTGTACTACCTCTTATGGAAATAGTCTACAAGGATGAGAAATTTACTTCACTAGCAGTGACTAGAGTCTATCATGGGCATGCCTGGGTACTACCTGGGACACACCTGTTGGTTTGTGATAGTCATCAGGAAGTTAACAAAATAGTATTCTATGTAAGCTGAGTTACAAAGTGTGACATAGAATATAGTTCATGTTTGAGTAAGCAAACTGGTTCACATGTCTTGCCTCAGCCCACTTTGCTGCATGCAGAACCTGTGTGTCCAGCCCTTGTCTACTGTCTCTGATCCTTTTCACACTTTGTCACACAAGCTGGAATCTCCTGCTTGACTGTAGCCTTCAGGGATGTAGAATTGAGCACACTGCAAACAGTTTGGGCAGAGACAGGAGAGGAAAGGGCCACTCTAATTATATGGTTGACCTGGATGGCATTTTCAGTTCTCCCAGAGGTCACACTAGAGACTATTCTCCTTCTGCTAGTAGAAGAAAGCTGGTAATGATGTCCCATTTTAAGGTTTTCCTGATCTAGCTGGAACTCTTTGATGACCCTGGTCACAGTAGAGCTTCCCAGACCAGGTTTAGTGGATATTTGAGGAGCAGAAAGGCCAGATTTGGAAAGAAGGTGAATATTTGCTCTAGCAGAGGCATGTTATGTCCCAAGCTTTGATGTGTCAGTAGAAAGTGTGAAAGGTTTCAAGAAATTGGGGATTTTTAGAACTGGGGAGGAGCATAACAAGGACTTAAGTTTAGCAAAGGCTGCATTGTGTTTGTGGGTCCATTTGTAGCTTTCCCCTTTCTTTGTGAGGTTGTGAAGAGGGTGGGCAATGGAGGAGAAGGATGGAATAAGCTTCCAGTAGAAGTTACAGAACCCCAGGAAGCATCTGAGCACTGTGAGCTTCTCCAGAGCCTCCCAGGTTGAGATGGCATCAGTTTTTGTTGGCAAAGTTTTGATCCTTCCTTTCCCTATGATCATCCCTAAGAACTCTACTTCTTCAGCCTTGAAGATGCATTTGCTGATTTTGAGGCAGAGATTTCCTTTTTGTGCAATTTCTAGAAATTCTTCTACATGCTTCCAAAGTGCCTTGAGAATCTTGGCATGGATGATGATGTCATCCATATATCCTACTTGTTTTCTGCATTGTTTTTTGAAGGTTCTATCCATATACCTCTGGAAAGAAGGTGGTGAGTTGCATTGACCAAAGAACATTCCCATGGGCTCAAACAAGCCCCTAGGAGTAATGAAGGCCCCTTTCCAGTCATCTCCTTCTTTTACATGGAGGTTAGTAAAGCCCCAAATGTTGAATTTAGCATAATAATGAGACTCTACCAATTCATCAAATAGGGATTGTGCATTGGGGAGCAGGTGTGCATCTGGGATAGTCCAAGAATTAAGGCAGTGGTAGTCTTGAATTAGCTGCTTCTTACCATCCTTCTTGGTGACAAAGATCACTGGGGCAGCTTGAGGGGAAGTCAATGGTGTTATGCTGATGACTCATATTGTGTCATGAATTGAGTGTGTGATGCACAAGAGGTGACATGTTATTTAACTTCACTAGTGAATGGAGAACTAGTCTTGGCCAGCCAAAGTCATACTGTTGAGTCCTTGTGGGTACAGCAAGCAGAGCTAAGGGTGTGGTAGTCGAGAAGTCCATGGTTCAATTTTGCATTGACATGTCAACACACCATTCATTTGGCATTGTTTATCTTCCACCACCTATGTTCAACAATGCAGTATGCTGATTTACACAACATCTACAAGGTATATTGTGACCACATAAGTGATTACCTGACATTTATGATGGTGTGGTGAGCCTCGGAGCAAGAATGTGAATTAGTGTGTGTTATGTAAGCAGGTATGACTAGTGTTGTCCTGACTACTTGTGCACTGTCAGGCAAGTCTGAGGCCCATGAACACATCTGCTGGCTAGCATTGAGTAAATATGGGATCAACATCAACCATCCAGTTCTGTCCGAATGTATTAGGCTACTAGCTGTCCACAAATAGCAGTGCATTACTACATCCTAGAGCGATCATGCCCTAATGTAACTCCTGCATGAAGTCTATGCCTCATCACCACATGGTATTTACAATTGAGGGGAGTCCCATATTGACACAGATGTAGTCACACTGGTGCTAGCTGTGTGAAAATTTTGATTCCATGTCTTTGCTGTGATCGCCAATTCCACTGTCACTTGAGGGGAATCAGTAACTTGACACTGTGATGCAGTTGGTTACCATACAATGTCACTGTGTGGGTCATCACATTGAATAAGACCATTCCATCATGCCCATTCACTGTCATTGGGGAACCTGACAAGGGGCAGCAAGAAGGTCAGTGTTACTGGGTGTATCATTGGTATTAGATGTGTACCTTGAATATCTGCAAAGACCAATTTATGCTTGCTGTACTCATATGCAAAATCAGCAAAGGCTGAAATAGTAGTTCTGAGTTTGTCTGTTGAAGATGGGTGCTCCAGTGTGCCACTAAACTTCATAACCATTGTAGTCTGTCAAGGCTCGACAAGCCAAATGGCACCACCATAGTAATTCCCATGGTCCAATTCACCAGATGCAGCAGATGACATCTCATGTTCACAGAGCAGGAAACCTTCAGAAAACACTATCTCTGCCATTGGCACAGGTTATTAAGACATAGGGATGGTTAAGGCTGAGTAAACATACCTGAAAAGATGCTGACACCCTGTTGCTTTGCAAGTTCATGGAAATGGCCCAGAAACCACTTTCCCAAGTTAAGTCAGACTAGTTCAGCCTTGAGGTACTTCTTGTTGTCAGTAGTTGTCATGGATTCACCAGTGTCAATGTCAAAGAAACATTTGGCAACAAAAAGATCTCCATTGAGCATTAGCTGAAAGCTGTAAGCAAATGACTAAAAGTATGATGTGCCTTAGTGACAAACCTTATAAACCTTCTTTGTCCAGCCTTTTGAAAATGCATCAGATCCCAGGAAACCCTTGATTGTTTTGACACTGTCATCTGGCCACACAATTTCAACTTCACCTGTTTCAGGCACCATGCTGCAAACCGCACATAGAAATGTCACTGAGGTTGAAGGTCCTGATGTAGTATGAGACAGAGATGTTAATGATGGTGTGGGAATGAAGGTCAATGTGAGTCCAAGGTGACCTGTAGTAGTTGAGGTATATATTGCAATTAATACGAGTCAACAATTTGAAAATGAGACTTACCGTGTTGCACCTTTTTGTGTGGTTGATGAGTTACAGTTCTAAGGGCAGTATCCTCATCAGAGGAGTGATCCACAGCAGGGCACTTTTGGGTGGACATAGTGCAGCTACCTGGCACTTCCCCACAAACATGTTCATGCTGGTCAATAAACTTTTGGTAATTATCCACTTCCCATATGCATCACCAGCATTGCTTCGCTTTGAGGCACCTTTGATTTGGACTTCAATAGCAATTTTGATCTTGTCACTGCCTGGTTGACCACCACCATTCCATGCATAATTGAGGCCAGCAGTTGTGTTCAGGGTGTTTGGACATCCAGATGTATTTGGTGATTTCTGCAAGTGGACACTAGCTAACACTGCCCATGCTTGCCTTGCAGTTTCAATGGCATCATGCATGACCTGACTTGTGCCAGCACTGCTATCACAGTTACCAACTAGCATTGCACAATCTCAGTCCAGTAATTACTCATTTATAATTGATCACACCTTGGTTGGCTGCAGGTGATGCAGTTTCACAAGTTCCACACATCTCTCCCTGTAAATTTTTCCATGCCATGCCACATCCTTTGCATTGTGGCATTGCCTGTAAGCAATAGTCAGTAGGTACTTCGCAAAGTCAGGAATCCATGTGTATCAACATACCTGCCATAACTTGATGTCTGCAGAGCCAGCTTGAAAGGAAGCTAATTTATGGCATTTTGCACAGATCCCAGGTTGAGTCTTGTGAGGAAAGATCTGCCCACAGCCATCACCATCACTAGCTTCACACCATGAAAGAATGGCCATTCTTAGGTTAAAGACTGAAAGGAATGCACTTGACAAAAGAGAGAATCAAACTGGGGAGTACCTGTAAGGACGGAGTGGTGTTGTTGGATGACACTGAACTGTGGTGTGCCCAGCCCATTTTATATGACTTGGATTGTGCAGTACATGTGGCCTTCATATGCAGATGGATCAAAATTCTATGTACATCATGTCAAGCCTGCAGTTTCCATGTACATTATTTCCATGGCTGGTGATATCCTTTGTGTTGCTAAAATGGGAGTAGCATTTTGTTGCATGTGGAGTTGTGACCACAGAGATGCCACTACATCTCAGACTCATATTAAGTTCTGATCTGTGAAATAGCTAATCAGCATAAATATGGACATGTGTTCCTATAAGAGCTCATCAACCTGAAGTTCATTGACAAGGATTTCCTCCATTTTTTGAAAAATAGCCCAGCCTCCATGCAGTGTGAAGTTGGGACATCCAATTTCTTCATAGATCCTTTTGGCCAAATTACCAAACTCTTCACTTACCCAACACATTGACACATCTCTCAAAACTGGGATTTCATGCCTCAGTGCATCAATTATGTCTTGGGTAACAGGGATCTTGCAGTCCTGTCCACCTTGTGATGCTGGGAGAGTGAATGCATGTCATGGAGAGGTACTTGAAGCATTGGATTTTTGTTTCTGGTAGCAAATGCAGTGGTTATTCCAATACTCCACAAAAGAATCCAATTTGCCCTGCAAAATTTTCAGCCAGAGCCAGTAGAAGAGTTGCCTAATGGCAATGCCATCCATCAGGTAAAGAAAAATATGGGTAGTGAATGAAGCAATGCACTTGTGAAGAGATATATTTAGGGTGATATACACCATCATGTAGTCCGCTTTGTAGCGAAATTTTTATATTAATACCCTTTGTATCAAGAAACCAGTGCCACAAGCCCTCAATGGGTGTATTATGGACACTCTTCAAGAACTGGAATGGTGGGTATTGGTTGGCATCAATGTTAGGTGCAAAAACCATGCTAGCATACACAAGCAGGGTTTAGTATATTTATTAGCAGTGAACTAAGGAATTGTAATATACCACAGTGCTGTCTGGTTGGCTGAAAATGATACCTGTTTCTGAGCCTCTGTCAGTAACAAATGTCAGAGGTATTGCTTCCACATCAATATTGAGTACAAAACTGCAAGGGAAACAAGCATAACACTAACCCATGTACTTTGTGATGTAGTTGAGGTGCACATGGCCAATTGTTGCTGCAAGCTGATGGTTTGGAACTACAACAAGATGGAGAAGAAAACTACTCCATTGGTCCTTTATCCCATATATGTCAAGTCCTACACCACCCATCCTGCAAAGCCTGTGCATTCAACTTCGCAAAACCATCCACATGATGCTGGTGATTTAGGCCCAATAGCTGATAAGGTTGATCTGTGAACTTGCTTGCCATGAGGAAACCATGCATTCGACCCATCTGGTGCATGGCAGGCAAGCACAGTGTGTACAAAATCACTAGATAAATAAATGCATAAGGAATGTTTGTATGACACATAAGGGTCATACCAAGGTGGGGGCATTCCTTCACTACTCAAAAGTGATGTGATCATTCGGACTCCATTTGCCTGGTTGACATCATTCGCAACTTTCTCCAGAACAGCTTGGGTTGCAATATCAGTCAGGGGTGGCTTTTGTGGACTTGGAACATCAAACTGCTTGTTTAATTCATGCAACCAGGACTTCCTGCCAAAAGTATGGTAGTGTCAGCTTAATAGCATAGACAGAATCAAATCCTTGGCCTAACTTGACAGTAAGTTGGAACTCAGAGTTCAGTCTTGCCAAATGTTCCTGCACCATGAGTGGTTCCTTGGCATACTGATGGAGTGCCTCACAAAGGACATCTTCAGGAGGATCTGTGTTGCAGCAACATCAGCTAGTCAGCCAGTGATATACTAATGGGACGAACACTGCTTGACTCCATATCCATTGACACCTGTTTGATTGTGTGCCATCCAAGTCCAGTATTGAGCATGCACTGAACTTCGTAGAGTCAGTGCAGTGCAGTGCAAGGCCTTGTGGCAGTGTTCTTGCTTACAAAACATATATGCATCATCTGGCATCCGAGTCATACCCATGACCTGAACCTACACTCTTGCCTACTAATCTCTTATGAGGTCATGATATACCTTGCATCACGTCAATCAGCATACTGTATTCTGAGCTGTGTAGTACATAGGTAGTGAAAGATAACAATAAACAATGCCAAATGAATGGTGTGTCAACATGTCAATGCAAAATTGAACCATGGACTTCTTGACTACCACACTAAGAATGGTTGCAAAGTAGATTTCGAATGAGGGAGTGGTATGATACATGCGAGTTTATATATGTATGTAAAGTACCTGCAAGCCAAACATTTGAAAATGTTTAACCATTCACCCACCTTCCAAACAAGGTATTGTCAAGTCACTGTTATGTGGGCATAAGGGTAACCAAGTCTGCAGAATGGAAGGGAATGGGGGTAGACATGTAACCCAGGTAGATGGGGTACATGTGTCACATGACTGCATGGGTCAGGGCCACCAGCAGATCATGGAAGGAAGGGTGACTGGACATAGTCCAGTTATAGTACAATGCAGGGTAGACAGCGGGATACTATAAAAGGAAAATGTACAAGAGAATGCAAGCCCAGCAGGGGCTTGTGGGTGACAGAACATCATCACTCGAAAGCATGATGAGCAATAAAGTAGAAAATCTATAAAAGGAAAGAAATGTGAGCAGTGCATAACATCACCCCCCCCCTGCAAAGGCCTGAGGTCCTCTGAAGGTGAGTAGAGTCCCTGGGCAACCCAAGAGTGGAATGCTGCCAATCGAGGGGAATGAGCCCACTAAGTTCACATTTGCTGAGGGTGCTGACAGGAACTGGAACGAAGGGACCATCTAGTAGAGGACAGGTTGTCTTAGTAGCATAGAAGATGGCCTGTCCTGCTGAACCTCCTCTGGCCTGAGCAAAAAAGTCAAGCCAATCACAGGGTGATCCATTGAAGGGGACATCCACAAGAGCATCTGCAATGGCCTGGAAGTGCTCCTGGCCCTGGCCTGGTATAATCTTCTCCCAGCAATTGTGACACCTCTGTTCATCATTTCTTTCAGCCATTGACACTCCTCTTCCTCCAGGTTGTGATGTCCTTCTGACACTGGCTTCCTGGCCCTGGAGCAGCTATGTCTCTTTTTGGTCAGCGTTTGCAGGTAGGCTCAATCTTCCAGTCATTGTTTGACACAACAGAGAGAAGAGCCCACAGACCACAACTTCAAGGGGAAGTTGGTTGAGAAAGGAATGAAAGGAGCAGATGAGGGAGGGGCTGTAGTCTTTGTGGACAATTTTGATGACAGCCTCCTGAGTTCTCAGGGCTTCTTGGAGGATGGACAAGTTTGTGCGATCTGTGCCTTTGTACATATGCACTTCAAAGCTTCCATCTGCCACCCCAGTTGGGTCATAGATGTGCTTTCTGATCACTTCTGTGCTTCTGAAGATCATAGAAAGCATCCATAGATGCTCGTGTCATTCCCCTGCTCTCCAGCCATGTGATTCCCAGTGCTTGAAGTTGTTAAGTTTTGGAGGATGATGAGCTGCAGGATTGTCAAGTCTATAGAGAGGAATATACTCAGACTTCAAGTTGGTTGAAGCTGAGGTGCAGTAAGGAAAAAAATAAACTGCTAAGTGTCCGCTTTTGGATTACATAATGCTGTGCTCAGTGAACCACAACTAAGGTAAAAGTGATAAACTCCAACATGCCCCTTCAATGAGTATAGTCAAGAAGGAATTAAAAGAAAATAATACCCATAGCTTCAGAGAAACGAACATGCTTCTCCCTAGACACACCCTTAGTCAGCACATTGGCCACCTGGTCATTGGTAGACACATAGTTGACAACTACTTCTCCAGAATCCACCTTCTCTCGTATGAAGTGATGATGGATCACAATATGTTTCATGCAGTTGTGGAACATTGCATTTCGAGCCAGTGAGATAGCAGATTGATTGTCAATGAGGAGGGGAGTGGGTTTGTGTGACAACACAGTCTTGAGTTCAAGGACTAGGGTATGAATCCAGATAGCTTCCTTTGTGGCAGTGCATGTGGCCATGTACTTGGCTTCTGTACTTGAGAGAGCAACAGACAATTGCTTTTTCAATGACCAGCTAACAGCTCCACCAGAAAGGATGAAAGTATAGCCAGTAACAGAGTGGCAGTCATTGATATCTGCTGCCCAATCTGCATCTACATACCTGATCATGCATGCATTTGAGTCTCACTTATAGGTAAGACAGACATCAGGGGTGCATCACAGATAGTGAAAAACATGCTTTAGTGCAGTAGAGTGTTCATGCCCAGGGCATGCAGCATGATGGCTCAACATGCCTACAGTAAAGGCAAGGTCAGGCCTTGTTGCTAGCATTGCATACATAAGGGCTCTGAGAGTGCCCTGGTATGACTTGGTGTCAGCCTCTGGAATTTCTAGTTTTTTGAGCTTTAGGTTAGGCTCAATGGGGGTCATGATGGCTCGCCCCTCACTCATTCCAAATTGCTTGAGAATACTCTCAACATATCCCTTCTGTGAGAGCCGTATGATACCTTTATCATGGTTGCGAAGTATCTCCATTCCTAAAATCCAATGTGCCTCCCCCAGATCTTTCATCTCATACTCCTGCAAGAGCTGAGCCTTGACATGCTCAATGGTTGTGCAGCACTTCGAGAGTATTAGCTTGTCATCTACGTAGACAGCAACAACAATCAGTATGCCATTCTCGACTTTAAAGAAGAGGCTATGGTCGGCCTGGCTTCGAGTGAAACCCAGGGATTTGAAAACAGTCCAAAGACGAGAGTACCATGACTTGGGGGCCTGTTTAAGGCCATAGAGCACTCGTAGCAGCTGCCAGACTTTGTTGCTGTCAGGAGGAAAGCCTGGAGGGGGGTGAAGGTATATTTCTTCATCTAATAGTCCATTTAGGAATGCAGATTTAACATCCATCTGATGAATTTCAAGATTATACTTAGCAGCAAGCACCAGGAGTATGTGGATGGTTGTGAACTTGGTGACAGGTGCAAATGTCTCTGTGTAGTTGATCCCATGTACCTGTGCAAAGCCTTTGGCTACCAAATGAGCCTTGTGCCTCTCAATTTGACCAGTTGGCCCTTGCTTGATCTTGTAGACCAATTTTGAGTCAATCAGTTTACAGCCAGGAGGCAGGGCAACTTCCTTGTATAGTCCAATGGACTTAAAGGTCTGTAATTCATCAATCATTGCAGCATACCACTGATCTGCATTGGTGCTTTGCATTGCATCATTGAACGAGCAAGGTTCATTGTCATGTGTTGTGGATGCTTTGTAAGCCACTTCCTCATTCATCTCAGCCACCTCAGCCTCACTGTTGCCACATGCACACTCTCGCTCTCGAGTGACTTTGTCGATGGGGCATCCACCCTCACTCTCTGCACCTGAACCCTCTGGCGCCTCAAGCTGTTGACTAGGCAAGGTTGTCCTGTCATAGGAATTGATGAAAAAGTGATAATCATCATCTCTAGGTGGCACTTTTTGTGTTCTGGTGGACCTTCAGGTCTCTCAAGGTGGAATTGGAGTTGGATAGGGCTGCAGGGGTGTCGCTTTATGCATGGTAGGTTTTGGCGTCGTCCTGGCTCGCTTTACTGATGGTTTTGAGGCCATTTCAAGCGCTGTTTTAGGACTCTGGCCGCTGCCTGGCATGTTACCCTCCAAGTGCTGTGGGGAATGATCTACCATTGATCCTGAGTGATCAGGTGTGTCGTTTGACTTGATTTTGACCTCATGGACAACATATTCACTCTCTCCCTCACTAGACTGGAGATCCCCATCATCAGACTCCATGTGAGCATGGCCTTCCATGCCCGAAGCCCTGATGGTATCCAGGTGCGATGTATTTCCCTTTTGGGCATTCCCTCTTATGTCTGCTGGTTTACTAACCATGCCTGCAGGATCTTCTTCTATCTGGATGCGATCTAGGCCTGCTGCTGTGCTTCCCTCATCAAATACTACATCCTGGGATTTGAAGACACAACCAGTGGGCTGGTGTAAGCATAGGTATGCTTTCTTGTTCTCTGCAAAGCCCAGATGAATGCATTTTAAGGACTTTGCATCTAGCTTCTTTCTTTTTTCCTCAGGTATATGTATGTGTGTGGTGCAGCCAAAGGTTTGGATATGGGCCAGCAATGGCTTAATACCTGTAAAGGCTTCATATGGTGTGACATCCTCAGAGATAGCATGGGTCAGTGATCGGTTGATTAGGTAGGCCACATACTGGATAGCATCCCCCCAATATTTATTTGGCAGTCCAGCGTCTTTTAGCATCACCCATGCACTTTCAACAAGTGTGCAGTTCATCTGCTTGGCAATGCTATTCTCCTGTGGGGTATAGGCATTTGTCCTTCTCGTGGTGGACCCCTTTCAACTTGAGGTAGGCCTTGAACTCATCTGAGCCATACTCCCCACCTCTGTCACTCCAAAAATAATTTGCTTTTTTGCCAGTCTCAACTTCAGCTCAAGCGAGGTAGTCTTTCACTGAGGGGAAGACTTCATCCTTGGATTTTATTAGTTTAACCACAAGGTGGTGCAAGCAAGCATCAATGAAGGTTACGAAGTAGCAGTGTCCAGTTCAGGCTATAGTCTCCATGGGGCCACATACATCAGAGTATGTCCGGTAGAGTACTGTTGGGCTTTCAATGTTTGACCTGATGGGTATCACCTTATGGTGTTGCTTCCCTTCAAGGCAAGGTTGGCATACTGAGTTCGAGTGCTCAGTGCTGGTAAGCTCCATGCCTTCAACCATTCCCACTTTAACCAGTTTAAGCACAGATTTTGTATTTGCATGCCCAAGTCATCAATGCCACAAGTCAAGTGTGGCTACAGACTTTGGTGCTGCAGCTGCGAGTGCCAGGAAAGTAAGGGTAGGGTCAAGTAGTGGAGATGGTCCTTGTATGACAAGTGCTCCATGACTTGGAGAGTGAGCCTTGATGATGACCCACACCTACAGTGTCTGTACCATCAGTGATTGAGCATGTTCCACCTGTG